CCACCTCAACCTGGACATTAACATTCCCCAGTCACCCTGATCAAGAACCTGGGTATCATCTCCCATTTCAACCACTTCTTTAAAAATCTCATTTAATTCTATATATAAAATTATGCTCAAATCAAGCACTTCTTCCTCTTTGTTATCATTACCTTATGCAGGGCCAGACCTCATCCATATTCATCTTACTACTGCTTTGGTGCCTAGTCTTTCTGCTCTGGCAGGGATAAGGATCTTTCATACCACTGCTGGAGTGATTGTTTTAAACCATGATTTAAATCCTAAATATTAGTCAACAATTATAAAGTAACCGCTCCTTACAATATATTTTGTTTCTAATAACTTCAGCTGTACCTTTGCAGCAAAATCCCAATCTTTTGAAAATCTGCCTTCTCTGCTTCTATGAGTCTGAGGATTCCTAGAGAAAAATAATGCAATGAATGAGTTGACTTCCTTACAAATGTATGGCCTCTGTTCAGCAATTGTTTTTCTGTTCCTTCCTCGCCTTTTTGCCACAACATCCACTGGGAATCTTTAATACTTTCCTCAGAATCTGACATAATCACCTCCTATTTCACCTCTGACAGGTAACATGGCCTTGATCAGAGGAGGGGAGAGAACATCTACCCAACTGAAATTTTTGTTTTAGGGTAATTAATGCTAACATATACTTAACAAGATAAATTAGGCAGCAGGACCCCGTCTAACTCTCTACTAGATTGTGAAATACCATCAGGACAAAAAATACTTTAACTTCAGAGTAATGTCTAAGTTTCTTCACATAATTATGTAAGGTCCTTCATGATTCTGCTCCTGCTTGTCTCTGGCTGTCCCTGGGTATCTCCCACCTGCAACCTACCAAGCCACATCCTCCACAAGAAACCACTTGGAGTAGCCTTTGCATAGACTATATTTGCTCATCCCCATTTAGATAATGAAATGACACCTTTGAAGCTTCCAAAACTTTACCTAATTTTAGATCAAAGTGATCATCATGATCTACCACATACAAAAAAGTAGCAAAATGGTGTTCAGTGCTGCATATAGTTCCGTACAGCAACATTGCCCATCCCCCACAGAACTACATACATACCCAACACCTTAGACTCAGAAAAAGCTGGGGGCAGCTTGAAAAGAATTATCATTTAAACATATTCTAACCATAGCCCTATTCTATTTTTATTTTATTTTTTGTTTTTTTTTTTTAAGATTTATTTATTTTGAGAGAGAGAAAGAATGACAATGACAATGAGCACCGGATGGGCAGAGAAAAAGAATCCCAAGCAGGTTCCACACTCCATGCTGAGCCTGACTCAGGGCTCCATCTCATGACTGAGAGATCATGACCTGAGCCTTGAGATAACTACCTAAGCCGAAAATCAAGAGTGAGACACAACCAACTGAGCCATACAGGCATCCCTATTTTTTTTTTTAATTTTTTAAATTTTTAAAAAATGTTTTAATTTATTTCTAAGAGACAGAGAGACACAGTGTGAGCAAGGGAGGGCCAGAGAGAGAGGGAGACACAGAATCTGAAACAGGCTCCAGGCTCTGAGCTAGCAGTCAGCACAGAGCCCGATGCAGGACTTGAACCCACGAACCGTGAGATCATGACCTGAGCTGAAGTGGGACGCTTAACTGACTGAGCCACCCAGGTGCCCCCTATTTTTATTTTTTAAGTAAGCTTTATGGAGGGCTTGAATCATGACTCCAACACCAAGAGTCGCATACTCCACCAAATGAGCCAGTCAAGCGCCGCACCATAAATCTATTCTAAAGCAAGATAATAAATGCTAAATTCATTGTTTATCTGTTTTCTTCTCCTTTTATTCTGTGATGTGAACTGTGAAGCAGGCTGGCCCTGTGTTAGTTCTTGAAAAAAATAAAAATTTTACATTGACTTGAAATAAAATCTAACACTGTATTAATTTTATTATATAGAAGGCTATAAAATAACTTTAAGTATCATTGCCATAGGATGTATATATGTTTTTTAAATTTTATTTTAATGTTTGTTTATTTTTGAGACAGAGACAGAGTGCAAGCAAGGGGAGGGGCAGAGAGAGAGGGAGACACAGGATCTGAAACAGGCTCCAGGCTCTGAGTTCTCAGCACAGAACCCAAAGTGGGGCTCAAACCCACAAATCACAAGATCATGAACTGAGCAGAAGTTGGATGCTTAACCGACTGAACCACCCAGGTGCCCCTATAGGATTCATATTTTAAGTGCAACTAACACCAGTTAAAAAAAAAAAAAAAAAAAAGTCCCGAAATGCGAATGCCATTTTAGGATCTCACATAAAAAAACCTGACAAAGAGATTTTAAAGAGCATTTTCCTAGTATGCTTTTGCCACACACAAGAAAACAGCATTCCCAGTATGATAGTACATATTAAACCAGATTAGCATCCCCTCCTTACCTGTCTCCTCCTCTAATCGACTGCATATTCCTTGAAGGCAAAGAGGTCTTTGTATCTCCAGAGTTGAGCAGTCTTAAGCTCCATTAACGAATAATAAATGAAAGCTCCTGGAGCTTCCAGGGTCAAGGTTAAGAGTACTAATCATGTAATTAGTACTTCAAAAGGCATGGGAAATTGTGTCACGTGCTGAATTTTACAGCCCAAGTGACTGGCAAGGTGTGACAACAGTATTTTACTCCTCTCAGGTGTTCACCCTCTGTTCCTTCATTTCTGTGTGAAATGTATTAGTTTTTGGTTTGTATTTTCCTTTTTCCTCTCTCCTGCTTTTATCCCTCACAGAAATAAATTACATTTAAATGTTTATTGAATAAACTTGAGTATTCCCAGACTAAATACTAATAATATGTTTCATTAACAACTTTTTCTCAGAAAAAGGGTCTTTCTAGACTGCTTTGACTTCTTAGGACTTTATTATTTAAGACAATGCTAGTTAAGAGGTACTTAATATGAAATATGGTAAGTATATTTTTTAAAAGCACATAATGTATAAATAAGATATTACCACTGCTTCCTACTTTCTCCATTTGCCTCCTTAAAGACACAGAATCATTTGTATGAGGCAGCAACAGGCCCTAAAATAGACTTTTTAAGTTCTACTTCAGTGGTTATACATAAGGTATAATTTACTGGAAATTCAGTAACTCAAGAAATTAATAGTCATTTTGGTATTTATGCTTAAAAACTAAAAAGTACTTTATATAAGTTACCTTAAGCAAGTGGAATTCATAAAAAATTATCTGAAATAGAAATACCACTTTGAACCAAGATTACTTGTGGACCACATGTAAATATGAAAATGGATTTTAACATCATTAATGTATCTACAAACTTTTATGCAGTAAAAACTATTATATTGCCAGATTTATACAGATATGTGTGCTACTTTATGCCAAAAGTTAGAGGTATGTGTTTTATTTTTTTTAATGTTAATTTATTTGAGAGAGAGAGAGAGAGAGAGAGAAAGACAGTGAGAGCAGAGGAGGGGCAGAGAGAAAGAGGAAGATGCAGAATCGGAAGCAGGCTCCAGACTCTGAGCTGTCAGCACAGAGCCCCATGCGGGGCTCAAACCCACGAACCATGAGATCATGACCTGAGCTGAAGTTGGATGCTTAGCTGTCTGAGCCACCCAGGCACCCCTTGAGATACGTGTTTTAGAGCTGAGTTTCAGATATCTTTTACAATGTACTTCAGCTATACTGATATTTCTTTTTCCTTTGTCTTTCTAATGAAATATGAGAATTGCTGAAGCATAAGCCTAAAACTGTCTTGAACATGACTGGCTACAGTCACTCCAATAGATAGCATACACATTAGTCTTCTAATGGTCTGTGACTAAAAACATGGAGGCGATCCAGTGGGTAAAGTAGCTTTACAGTTAATGATCAGTGTCTGGAAAAAGATTCCTGAATGCTTTGCTCATTCATTTAACGGATGCTTATTAAATATAGGCTAGGCCAGGTGATGGGTGCTAGGAATTCAGTAGCAAGAAAACTAGAGTCTCCTGCACTCCTGTAGTTCACCGTCCAGCTGAAATGTAGATTTTTATGAAGAAATTATAAGAAGTCTATGAAAGGAGGATGGCCAGGGGTTAAGGGCACATACACCCTAGTCTGAGGGGTCAGCAATGAACAAAACCTCTATGTATGAGATTTAATTTTCCCAACCTCATCAGTTATGCAAGTGATAATACTTCTAGAGTTAATGTTAGCTAAACACTATGCTTTGGAGGAGGTGAAGAAATCCTCACCTGAAATACCTTTCTCAATGCTGCTCTGAATAAAAGTTATAGTCAAGGGCACAATTTAAATGTTATTCAATAGGAAAAACAGTCCACTGAGTGCCTACTAAGTGCTAGAGAAGACAACAAACAGTCTCAACCCTTAAGCTTCCAACCTAAGAAAAGATGGTTGTGGAAGAACAACAAAACTTGACGAGCATCTCAAGAGAAGAGGCTGAGGGAGGTTATAATGACGAAGCAGAGTCGGTCAGCCGTTAGCAGAAGGATTCTGCTAATTCCAGATGAGTCAACAGCTCTGATTTTGGCATCCTTAGGGTTCTGTGAGGATCTCAGTGCCACTGCTCTGCCTCATAGAGCGTGTCCTTTCACGTAATTTTTGTATTAAAATGCTCCCCAACACACACACCCTCCCCCGTGTTGAATGGCCTAGGACTTGGTAACTCAAGGAAGATCATTTCTAAGTGTAAGAGAGAATGATTATTTTACCCTTGGTGCTCTTTTTCTTAAACTTTTCTCTCCTCCCTTCTTACTATTAATAAAGTAGCAAGACTCTTAAAGCAAAAATTCGAGTGTAGGCCTAGGGCAGAGAAGTCAAAGAGACTTCTTTGCTTTCTTTTTATCTAGGCTTTAGGCCAACAGCACAAAAGGAGTCCTTGTAGAAATCTATGACTCAGCCTTGCTCACTAGGGCTCTGGGCTAATGCCAGAGACTTATTGTAAAGAGTGTGTGTGTGTGTGTGTGTGTGTGTGTGTGCGCGCGCGCGCGCGCACGCATGTGCTTACACTTTTCCACTGGTACCCAAGGAATCAGAAGATGGCTGATTTATTTTTCACAGACTTGGGGGTCCCAAAAGAGCCTCTTTTTATCAAAGATCTAACAGAAGACAAGAAGGCAACAATACATTGCTTTCTTTTAAGAAACATCTCAATTACTTGAAATAGTTTTGCTGTTCCTTCGATATAAAAACACCATTCCACATTCACATTCTTTATGCCACTTTAAGGATAGAGGAGGGAGGAGGGTTGATTGCACTGGCAGATCATAGAATATTGATTAAGCTGCTTTTTTCAAGGGTCAAAGTTTTCCAAGGGGCTCCAGGTCACAGCAGGCCTCTGTGGCTTCCATTTGGCTTGCTGGCAGGACAGGTTAGAGGGGGGTGAGGGGTCAGAGGGACACAGAAAGGTTATCCTCTCCCTAAGTTTGGGGCACCACAAAAAGTTTACTTCAGCTACACACAGGGGAGCTAACAGGGTCCTCTTTGGCTTTCGCTCCATTTCCATTAGTGCTCACTGGAGTTTAGGGCTGGCTGCCTTTGAAGCTTGAAAGGAAGAGAGAGCAATCCTAGGAGCCTGCCTTAGCCTGAGGCTGTTTAGGCCAAACAAGCTTAAGAAAAAGAAGGCTTTCATGTGTTCAGCCCAGTTTACTAGAGCTTTGTACTGTGGCTTGAAGCCAAATTCCCAACTAATAAAATTTTTCACTGTTGTTGTTTGGTTATTTTTACCCTTGAATTTGCTTTATGAGAATAGACCTCTCAGAAGTATTGGGGAGGATATAATTACTTGAGGCAATTTCAGGGACATCCTTGGTACTCTTCAGCAACACATCATTAAATAGTACCCTGAACTCACTCAAACTTCTAAACAATGTAAGCAGGAAAAATTGATTAGAAGTAAAAATGCTATTTTTGTTTGCAGAATACATTTTACTGGTACTGGTGTCAGGAAAGGCCTTGATAAGAAGGTATACAAAGCAATAAAACATTTACAAACCAGCCCACGGAGTTCAACAAATCTTGACAGTGAACCTAGGACCACCCACACAGAACAAAGGTTGCCCATGCTACTACTCATACCTGTTCATCTGCTTTGTGGGGTTTGGAATTTGAGAGCTATCAAAAATTAAGAGAAACCCAAATTATTTGAATACTGGTAATAAAATTACATCTACTGTGAGTCACACGGTGGCCACACTGAAATTGTGCGACGAACTGAACTACTAATCGCCATAATACACCAAGCACTAATTTCCAAAAACCAATGCTCAAGATTTCTCATTGCACATATGTTTAGAAACAGATATTCTCTCCTCCTTGCAAGAGCATCCTATAAATTCTTACTTTTGTAAACTGAGTCTCAAAGATATCTGCCCAGATGTTTCTAGAAAGCCTGGGAGGTGGATAGGAACCCGCTAGTCCCTTAGTTGAGTTACTAGCTGCTCTTCTTATTCATCAGGGAGTTTGCATGTATAACCTGGAAATGCATATTAAATTTTACAGTATTTTGAAAAAGAAGCAAAAATATTAGTTTTATAATATAGACCACAAAAACTAAAGCTGGAATAATGCGGATATTGTTGTTATGATTCTCAGTTATGATGTAAAGGTGCTATTGTTTATTCAGAAAGCACATGGATTGTCGACAGCTGATAAAGATTGTCCTACTCCCTTTACTAGATGACCACACCCACTGCCATGGCTTTACTAACCATTAAAATGCTGGTGCTGAAATTTACATCTCCAAGTTGTATTTCTCTTCTGTGTTCTGACTCGTATATTCTAATGCTTGCTGAACTTTTTGGGAAAAAAATGCCAGCTGGATTCAAACTGTTTAAAGGCATGATCAGGGCTGGTCTTACATAGAGCGGAGGCTCCGTGGCAGCATCTGCAGATAAGTAAGTTAAAGAAGGCAATTTATACAGGCAACAAAAGCAGATGGCCTTCATAGAAACTGATGTGGGGGTGCCTGGGTGTCTCATTCGGTTAAGCGTCCAACTTTGGCTCAGGTCATGATCTCAAGGTTTGTGAGTTCGAGCCCCATGTCGGGCTCTGTGCTGACAGCTCAGAGCCTGGAGTCTGCTTCGAATTCTGTTTCTCTCTCTCTCTGCCGCTTCCCTGTTCATGCTCTCTCGCTCCCCAAAAATAAACATTAAAAAAGAAAAAAGGAACTGATGTACTAAAACTGCTTTAGTTTATTCTTCATAACACATTTTCTCTCTTTGTGACAATATGGATTGTGTTTAATTCCAAATTATATTTGTTGTTTTATAGACCCCAAAAGTCAGTTAGATAAATCATTAAGCTAAAAACAGAAGACTTTAGAGGCACCTGGGTAGCTCTGTTGGTTTAGTGGAGTACTCTTGATTTCAGCTCAGGTCATGATCCCAGACTCATGGGATCTAGCCTCATGTTAGGCTCATTGCTGAGGATGGAGCCTGCTTGAGTCTCTCTCTCTCTGTCTCTCTCTGTCTCTCTCTCTCTCTCTCTCTCCCCCCTTCTCTCTCTACCCCTCTCCCTTGCATGTACTCTCTCTCCCTCTCTAAATTAAAACTGAAAAAAAATTAAAAACAATTAAAAAAGATTCCAAATAAGCACAGTTTACCAATAGGTTGACCCATGATGGACAGAGGAAATATCTCCCATAGATGCAATATCTATATAGACATTACTGAAACGTAACATGAGGTTACCTGGGGTTATGCTAACATGTTCAAACAATATTTGCACGGCAGGTTTGCAAAAGAAAACAATGTAATTAATTGTTTACAGCTGAAATAATGATCATCCCCTCATTTTTAGGAAGTTGGTATTTCAAAATATTAATTCACGGAAAAGCTGAACATGGAAACAGGAGCTCCTGCTTCAAGTAATTAAGACAAAAAATTTATATAGTCCTTTATATGAGATGTTAGTGATCATTAAAAAACCATATTCTAGCCAGAACTGTATGAAGGCATGATTTCTGCTGACTTCAATAGACTACACCTTTGCATAAACTCAGCTGAAATATTTATACCCAGGGAGGTATGTTTTTCCAAGTTCATTTCTGAGAATATTTACACAATGAAGTTTCTCTTTAGTATTTGTCTATGCTTGCCCTTATTTCTCGTTTCATTTGACTATATTTACTATAATAGCAAACACTGTTTCACCAGGGGTAATATTTTTCTATTTGTCTGAGAATATGAGTGTTTTTATAAGTGAATGTTTTAAGTCTTTGAAACACAGGACAATTTTATTCTTTGTCATATCTGATTCTTGCTCTTTTGTGTTTCAAGGTAGAAACTGAACACCTGACTGGCTTCACATTTTTCCACTTATATATTTTATTTGAAAACATCCATAAGAAAAGCTCAATGAAAAAGTATGAAAGAAGATTCACTCCAAGAAGCAAAATGGCTTTGAGTCGAACAAAACTCTTATTCAGAAGGAGTGAAAAAACAGCAACATCAGCACAAAACTAATTTTATTGTTGGCTGTTACTTGAGTAGGTGTTGAAAATACAAAAGTTCTCCTTACTGCTTTAATTTCATAGAACAAGGGATCTCCTAGGGCGCCTGGGTGGCTCATTTGGTTAGGCATCTGACTTCGGCTCAGGTCATGATCTCGCAGTTCATGGTTTCTAGCCCCACCTCAGGCTCTGTGCTGACAACTCAGAGCCTGGAGCCTGCTTTGGAATCTGTGTCTCCCTCTCTCTCTGCCCTTCCCCCTCACTCTCTCTCTCTCTCTCACAAGAATAAACAAACATTAAAAAATTTTTTTAAAAAGAACATGGCATCTCATGTTACCCTTTCCCAAAAGGTTTTATCAGTTGATCGAACATTATGTTATCAAAAACCAATACTACTGAGATCAGCTGTATATACAATTTTAGTGGAAAAAAAAAAGACAATTCATTAAAATGCTATGCATCTACAAATATATACAAATAGATTCGATGTTTCTACTTGATAAATTAGTAACCACCATATGGCATTCTAAGATTATCGCAAATACCTAGCCATTTAAATGAAACTGTAATTCCATTTCCTTTTTGAGGACTTAGACTAAATTTGAGCACATCACTGATGTCATTTGTTTCTGTTTTTGTTTTCCTACTGGGACTATAGTTTCTCAATATCATGGTAAATATTTTACTTAAAATGAATTTGGATTGAGTAAACTGTTGAGAATGTTGTTTATTTGTACCTGCATGCCTCGTGCACTGGCAAGGAGAGCTCCTTGGCACCATTTTTGCCCTGCAAGCCACCCTGGCAAGACTGGCAGAGATTCCTTAGTAGGAATTCCTCACAAGGGACACTCCAGCTTGGCCACCTGATCCTGGAAGACAACGTCGGACCCGGTTGTGCTCACTTGAGCATGAGTGATAAAGACCACACGGCACTCTCCTCCTACTTCCATTCGTAGAATGAAGTCGATACCTTAAACTGCCAATAAACAAACATCAAAATCAATTAAATTTTTAGTATAGAAGGCCAGGATAGAAAGCATGGAGGAGATTTTTCTAAAAATCATTCATAAATCCAACACACAAAGGAGAGCATTTTGGTGTATTTCCTTACAGTATTTTTATGCATACTTATTTTCAGTATATGTTTCCTACACAGTAAATCCTCATTTTTTGTGTCCAAGATAAGGCTGCCTAGTATAAAAGGAAATACGATACAAGTTGAGCACTGAGTGAAAAATAGGAAGTGAGTCAAAATAAAAAATGAAAGGTGTCTGAATGAATGGCTCAGTCGATTAAGCCTCCTACTCTTGGTTTCTGCTCAGATCATCATCGGGCTCTGAGCTAACAGTGCAGAGCCTGCTTGGGATTCTCTCTCTCTCTCTCTCTCTCCACCCCCCCCTTGCTCTCTGCCTCTCCCCTAATTGTGCTCACTCTCTCTCTCTCAAAATAAATAAAGTTAAAAAACATTAAAAAAGGTGATATGAAACATTAAAGTACTAGGGGAGAGGGTAGAACCAGGTTTTCACATTACCTACATCAGGTGGAAGACAGCGGGATTTATTAAGGAAGATGTCCCTCCCAATAAAAGAATCCAGTAGAGACCTTTGGTTCCATAATAAAATTTAGAGATGACTTAGATAATAGATTCCATATTGTTTAGTAGTTTATTTCTATAGGGGAGAATCTTGCATTGCTCATACCAAAGTCTAAATGTAGTCCAAGATATAATACTCAGTGCATTCTTTCTATGTGATCATAAGAGCAATTTTTGTTGGTGTCAACATAAGTTTGAAATAGATCTCGATTTATGGGGTTGCCAAATATAAAAAGTGAATTTCATAAACTGGGAATGTGAAAAGGAATTATGAACAATTCTCTTTACTCTAGAAAAAAAATCTCTTTATTAAATAGATTTTTTAAAGTTTTATTTATTTATCTATCTATTTATTTGTGTGGGGGGGAGGGGCAGAGAGAGAGGGAAAGTGGGAATCCCAGCAGGCACCATGCTCCAGAAGGTGCACTGAGTCTAACAATGGGGCTCAATCTCATGACCTTGAGATTGCAACCTGAGGTGATATCAAGAGTCAAACGTGTAACCGACTGAGCCACCCAGGCACCCCTAAATAGATTTTTAAAACTTATTCTAAATTCGAGATGTTCCCTAGTTAGAACAGAATGTTTTTTCATCAACTTACTTATAAGTTAATAAAGATACAAAAACAGGAATCCAGATCCATAATAATCCTAACTTATAAAGTGAAAGCTTTACAAATACAGGGAACCATTATTATTACAGTTTCTGTCATATTCCCCAGACAGAATGATTGCTGCGGAACCAACTGAATATGTGACTTTCTTAGTTGGTCAAACATATTTGCCCAACAATTCGGTGGTTGGTTTTCTCATTGCTGAGTAGTCTATAATTGTCACAAAAAGAGTCTTTCCTTTTAGTTTCTTTTTTTAAATGAATCAAACAGTGTTGTCTAGGTACATATATCCTTTCCAAGGAGACTATGAATGTCTTGAAGGTTGGGACCATGTCTCTCTAATTCTTATATACCCTGTATCTTTCAGTGGCTGATATACCTCAGGCAATCAGAAGGTGTCTTACAAATGAATGAATGAACCACTTTCATATTAGCGCTCTATGCTCCTTTCAGTATTGCATAACAAAACAAGAAAGGATTTTTTAATTTCTCTGTCTTCATTATCAAATTCTATTAGATAGCTGTAGTAGTTTCTTAGGGCTGCTGTAAGAAATCACAAAGTGGATGTCTTAAAAACAACATAAACTGACTCTTTCACAGTTTGGGATCCCAGAAGTCTGAATTCAAGGTGCAGGCTGCGTCATGATCCCTCTGTAGGTGGGGAATCCTTTTTTGCCATTTCTAGCTTCTGGCAGCTCTAGGATTTCTTTGGCTTGTAGATGCATTCCTTGAATCCCTCCCTATCTTCACATGGCCTCCCTCTCCTCTATTTTCCTCTTCCGTCCCTTGTAAGGACATGTGTCATTTGATTTAGGGTTCACCCAGTTAATGAAGGATGATCTCACCTCTAGATCCTTAGCTCTTTTTTTTTTCCAAGTAAGCTCACATTCACAGGTTCTGGGGGTCTCTATTCAACCCACTACAATAGTTAATTGTACAGATTTCTTCCCATTGAATATTTTAACACTTTTAAAAATAGGCATAAATATTTGTACTAGTTGGTACAAATGTTAGGCTAACATTAAAAATAGACTCAAAAAACACAGTGGCCTAAAGAAGGTGGAAATTTGTTTCTCTCTCATCTTAAAGTCCAGCCAGTCTAGGCTGGTAGAAAGGCTCTACCTTTATTAAGGGTTTATTAAGGGTCCCGATGCCACTGGTCTCTGTCACTGCCCAAGTATCTCAGCCCAAGAAGAGGAAAGAAATGGAGAGCAAGGCATTTCCTTTAAGCAAATGAGGTTGGACTTGCACGTATTGTTTACACTCTGCTATTCCATTGCTAAGAACATGCTTACATGGCTACCTCTCACTGTAAGAAAGACCGGGTAATGGTTTCTCTCATGGGGTGGCTGTGTAGCCAGGTATAACTTTACCACTATTGGAAGGTAGAAGAATGGAGTGGGGATAACTAACAGCATGTGACAGCTTAAAAACAAAACAAAAAAAACAACCAACTTCAATTCCCTGAATCATATATTTCTAAATTAAATAGATTATTAGTGGAATTATCACAAGTTTTGCATCTAATTAAAGCATTCATCATCTTCATTCATAGACTGGGAAATTAACTTTCCTGATTTTTTAAAATTCCAAATGTGTTTGACATTACTTATCTTAAAGGAAGAAATTAATTTTCCACCGTTCAGAAGTCAATTGTTAGACACTGTCACGGTTAGTTGTTGTTATTTTCTTTAAACTACTGTTAAAACATTATTAGAAGACATATCTGTCTTGAGTAATTCATTGCCTGATTTCCATGAAAGAGGTTTGTTTAGCTGGACTTTTCACCCTCCACCCCTTTCCTCTTCCACATGGTGGTGGAAGATTGAATTACCTGGGAGGAGGGTGACAGCCACTGGCTTAGGTTAACATGTCTGCACTAAGGATTCAGACTTTCCCTCTATTGAGCTGTTCAAAGGACTAGGTAGCAGCAGGCTGTCATTAGTTGACTTTCACTCAAAGACACAGTCCACATCAATCCGATCAGGAATAGAGTTTTGATCTTCCTTTTCCTGATTCATGTGTCTCTCTCACTCAGTTCAGAATTTAAGTGCTGAGGAGAAGGAGGAACATACGAATGCCTCTAACCTCAACAATGATAAATGTATTATGAAGCTTTTTTGTTTCCCACATAATTTGTGAGCATAAAATAGTGAATCAGAAAAGTTCCTGAAAGGCTACAGCCAAAGATTATATCTAATGTTGTTAAAGAAAGGGTAACATTTTCTTCCAAAGGAGAGATTTGCTTTCAGTTTACACCCAATCTGAAAGTTATTCTAGTCAAAAGGAGCAAAATAGGACATCTTACCATGACCCTACTCCATAACTTCCTCCCACCCCACTCCTACCTACCTCATCACTACCAGGGGGCAGCACACAGTCCAATCCCAAAGACACAGAGGGTTAATGGGCTACAAAAACAAAGAGAAGCTAATGGGTTGTAAGTATTTAGCAATGAGAACTGGACAAAGCAACCTCCTTTAGAAATCCCATTGGCAGAGATTATATTGATGGGAAAATTCAAAAATTGCAGAAAGATGAAAAAGGGTTTGTACAAGGAAGTGACCATAGCAACAGTCCTGCAAAAGGAAAGAATGGCACAAAACACAAGAAAAGGGTCAGCAGAACCTGGCACCTTAAGAATAATAACCAAGAGAGAAGAGAACAGAGATGGATCTGTAGGCACACTTGGCTGAGGAAAACTTGAAGCTAAAACCAAAACTTCACTGAATGTTATTATGGGTTCAATTTAGGAGCAATTTTCTCATATATTCTTCTCTTTATATGTTGTGGTTTCAGCCAGTTGCAATTTATCCTTCATGTTTTATCTACAAAGTCCTATGTAGTGGGGAAAATGCCTACAGTTATTAAGAGTATATTGAGGCTGGAGAGACCACACCTGATAACTTGCAGCCAAAGTTCTGATGTTCAGGGTGGGCACAGTGGGTAAACAGCACCCCTAGACAGTGCTACCTTAGGAAGGCCTGACCATATCCGCGTGGGCTTCATGGCACACATTTTTGAGTAGTGCCTGCCGAATGACCAGGGCCAAGCCATCTCTCTCTCCTTAGCTATAAAGGCATCACACATAACACCGGCAAGAAAGTCATCTGAAATTTTGTATTTGTTCGATCTCATTTTAAAGATTTTGGTAGCATGGGATTCTTCAAATACATAAATATTATGGTATTTGATTTACATTATGGAACATAACTTTAACATTCTGAGACTCCTTCCCTTTCCCTCATCCCATATATTCAATCATTCCAAGTAATTTAAGTTTATTTTGAGAGAGAGAGAGAGAGAGAGAGAGGAAGGATGGGAGGGACAGAGAGAGATGGGGAGGGACAGAGAGAGAGGGAGAGAGAGAGAATCCCAAGCAGGCTCCACACTGTCAGTGTAGAGCCCAACATGGGACTTGAACTCATGAACCATGAGATCATGACTTGAGCCGAAGTTGGATGCTTAACTGACTGAGCCACTGATGCCCCATCATTCCAAGTAATCTTGATTATGACTCTAGATCTTCTCAAGTGTATTTCATTTTCCCATAAATGAGTTGAGGCCCATTTACTTTGTCTCTTGGACATGTGAAATAATATACCATGTGGTTTCCCTCTCTCATTCTCCTCAAATCGTATTCTTTCTTTCCTCAGACTACACACATTCCAGGTACTCCCAACTGACTACAGGATAAAATCCAGACTAAAGAAGTGGTTCTGAAAGTGTGGTCCCAAGACCAGCTGCATCAACATCACTAGGGAATTTG